GTACTGAATGGTTCTAGAGTTTGGACTCGTTTTAAAGAATCGAACAAAGAAAAGTTAGGAGAAGAACGTGAATCGATAGATTGAGTTTTGTTTGAGTTGAATGTTGATTGAATTTGATTTCTATTTGATTGTCTATTCTGGGTACAGAGGCGAGATTTATAGTCTTGCAACCTTACTGAGCTATTCGCGTAGCTCACCCCTTCTTTTTTCTCCACAGGTGAAAGGTGAAGCAGAATATTTTGGTTGGATTCGGTAGTTTGTCAGAAAGACGAAGATTTAGAACTTCTATTTTCTTTATTCAATTTATTCATGAAATAAATATTCAGACTTAAGTTATTGAAATTCATTGTTTTAGACTTCCGCTGTAAAGTCTGATTTTGATGGTTGATTTTAGAATTTATAACTCAAGTGACGATACAACGATATCCGAAATACCGGATTTTGGGTCGTTACACATACGCAAATAATGTTTTTAACACAATTTAATTAAAACGTTGTAGGTTGTGGGATTTACGGGATGTGTAAGGATCGTTTCTACAAATATAATTCGGCAACCTAGAGTTTTTAATCGGGAAACTCAAGTTCTTATCGTAGAGGATTACTCTTCGAGTCTCACCTCACTTCCTATAAGTTTAACCTATCGATCTCTCGATTCCAAACAGATTAAAAATCTTAGAGCATTAAATTTGCTATCACAATTTCTAAATAGTATAACCATCTTCCGATGCGAGAACCATCTATTCAAATGAATATTTTCTGAATTTAATTTCATATTCCTATACAATTAAATTCTAGAATCAATAAATCAGGTGGCCGACAAGATTTAAAGCATTAAACATTATTCATTCAAACCAAATTATCAAACTCATAATTGCAAAAATAATTTATGAACACATAATCTTTTCACACCGCAACTCTAATCTACAACCAGAAAAACTACTCACACATAACGGTAAACAACAACAAAAATTAAACGACAACACATAAAATTAAGAAAGAGGGGAAGAGATGCTCATAGATGTATGCGGCAGCTTCCTCCTCTTCGGCTCTTGCTCTCGACTTTCTCTGATCTCTCTGTATCTCCGTATCTGTCTGTCCCAAATACTCGAACTCTGTTTCCTTTTATCAAAAGATTGGAGAGAATGGATGTCCTAGTCACCGTTTGTCTTCGTCCTGCGAGTGGCATAAATCACGGAAAAGTGTGTTTTCTTGTCGGACGATCGCGCCATCGTCGGTAACGATTGCGCGATCATCGCTAAAAAAACACGTTATAGCGGCAGATATTTCTGACACGATTGTGCGATCGGTGGCTCGCAATCGCGCGATCGCAAATATAAAATTCGTCAGTGCGCTGTGCTCTTAATGCGATCGCTCGATTGTTGGTGAAGATGCGCGATCATCACAACAAAACAAACACGCAAATCGAGCGCACTATCACACGTGTATGCACTATATATATAATTATGATACATAGTATATATACGTTTATTAATACATATGCATATTATATTTACACATATTATATATATACACGTACTATATATATATATAATTAAATGCACACACATAAGAGATAATCGAGCGCACTATCACACGTGTATGCACTATATATATAATTATGATACATAGTATATATACGTTTATTAATACATATGCATATTATATTTACACATATTATATATATACACGTACTATATATATATATAATTAAATGCACACACATAAGAGATATACATACATATATTCATATATATATATGTGATTTGTACAATATATATACATATACTAATCTATACGCATATACATATATATATTTATAATATGTATACATGCGTATATTACACATATATCTATAAATATATATATATATATATATTAGTACATATACATATTATATATATACATATGCGTATCATATATATAATTATAAATATATACATGTATATATTATTTATATATATATATATTTATTAATACATATGCATAATATATATATATACACAAGTCTACATATAGACATATACTTATGTATAATAAATCTACGCACTCACACAAATATATATTAATGTATATGTATATTATATATATATATACCTATATCATATATACACAAATCGCTTGTTCGATCGTTATTAACAACGATCGTGCGAGTGACTAAACTATTACCCTTTTTCTTTCGAAACAATTTCCGCGCTCATACGTTTTCGATTGATTCACATGAAAATATCTTGGTGAAGCTCGTTTTTCACTTTTTCCTACAAAATATAGAAACATCGAAATCGGAGTAAAATTGTATACGATAAAACCTATAAACATATAAATATCGTAAAATATAATGTATATATTATACAAAAATATACTAATATATACATGTCATCAATAGTGGTACAAATCGGGTTACAAATTTAGAAATCGGTGCGTACACATCAGGGGCTATCGCTCAATCCAAGAAACCCAGGTCTCATCAACGATCCAAACACATACTCAGACGATTTCACTTAATAAAAGAAATCATAGACAGAGAAGACGTCAGCATATGCACGGTATCGACAGACGACAATATTGTCGATCCTTTGATGAAACCACTTCCATCGTCAAAGCATGAGAGTCATGTGAGAGATATGGGCATTAGATGGCTAGTAGAGCATAATTAGAGTAAGTGGGAGATTGTTGATTTAGGTGCTCTATATGTTGCTTTACGATATGAGTACCGTGATATTTTGTATTGACAGATTCATGATTTGGTTAAATGAATGAATGTTTTCTTCTTTATTCATTTTGCATATTTGATGAATAAAGAAATCCATGGTTCATTATGAATGATCCTAAATTTTCTAGTCGTATATTATTGTAGGAATGATAATATAATAAGACTAGCATGATGTATGATGGATGATCATACAAATAATCATGGATCATAGTCATGGGAGCTGATTTGGAATGAAGAACTGGATGACCCGCATAAGATTGTCACATGGACATGAGTCGTGACTTGAATCTCATGTGATAGGTTTACGATTAGATCCTTTGACCTAAGATATCTACGGTATCTGACTTGAGGAGTATCGTACTTTGATTGCGTCAAACGTCTTGCATGACAGGAAGATTATAACGACGTCTCTTAGGTACGACATGAATCATGTTTTGGATAGTAGATAGTCGATATGGAATTTGTACCTCTCATCCTGAGAGAGATATCGCTAGGGCTCCTCGAGTGAGTTGAGACTGAGATGCGCGCAACCAGATGAAAAAGTCATCTGATGTTTCACTTAACTCAACAAACGAGAAAAACAGTTGAATCTGATAAGATGGCTAGCGCTCCATGTCTTATGTTCGACATATGATATCACGTTACAAAGGAATCATTGTATGGACTATTACTGGCTTTCGTTAGATCATGAGACTAACTCTATTCAGATTAGGTAGTCATAATGTCTTGCTAGACACCGCCTATGATTTGTATCACCGGAATGGAGATTCCGCGTTTTATTGCTATTTCGATTGAGCCTATAGGGTCACACTCAGGGAAGGACAAATGCGCGAGAAAGAGACGAAAATCTCCGAGCTGAAAAAGTCCAGACCGACCGGTCCACAGGTCTGGACCGACCGGTCCAGACGTGACCTAGACCGACCGGTCCACAGCCTGGACCGATCGGTCCAGACGTCGGGGGTCTTGTACTCCTTCTCAAACTAGGGTTTCTTGGAACCAAAATAAAAGGAGCACGCCTAGGGTTTTGGCACGCCTCTTCAGACTTTTAGAGAGTTCTAAGAGTCCTTAAAATCCTTCTTTTGATTTCCAAAAACCCTACACATTAGAGATCGAGATTTCTAGTCCTAGCAGACGAGTTCCAAACATTGGAATCTTTTCCGACGTGTGGATATGTGTAGAGGGTTTGGTAAACTTTCTGCCTTCTTATGATCAACAAAATGAGAAACATATATATACTCGTCTCAAAATTTTTCGCAATCGTATATATTATACAAAATTATATTGATAAAAATTATAAATTTATATAATAAAAAAAATATTATATAAATAGTTAATAAAAAATATAAATTTATATAATAAAAAATTATTAATTTGGATAATAAAAATTATTTAATTATAATCAATAAATTTTATAATATTTTTATACGTATTAATGATAAGAATAATAATTTGTAAAAATCTATAAATTTAAGTTCTTATCATAAATTTAATGCATTTTCAATTTTTAAATTAAATCTTTTTATTATTATTGATGTATTTTTCGAATTATAAATTAATTTAATATAAAATTTGAACTAATATAAATTTTGCATCATAATTAATTTTTTAAATACTATATTTATTTATTTGAAAATATAATATATGATAATTATGACTAAAAAAATTGATGAGAGTATTGATTTTTAAAATAAATAAATGTTAAGTTGAAATGATAGCTTTTTAAATTTAGATTTTTTATTTTTTATAATAATATATAATTAATAATAATAACTATCTTTTAAAATTAGATTCTAAAATTTATATGTTTATTAGATTGCACCGTTTGCATTTGTTATTAGACGATTTATATATATATATATATATTTAAAAGATACTTGTCATCTCTTATTTTAGTTACTTAAATTATATGCGTGTTAACACGAGTTTGAATATTGCGAGTTTAAAAGATAATAAAAGTAAAGTTTATAAGTTCTTCTTTTGGCACCTAACTTATGTTTTCCTAATCATTATACTAATAATTTCCACCAGATATCTTCACCATTAAAGAAACAAATTGTTTTTTTCATTATATGTATAATCATACGGATGATATTATTATTATTATTATGGACACGCGTTTTCCACAAGACTGTTTAGGCAGTTAAATCTACGACGGTTAACGAAACACCGTCCCAATCGACAAAAAATCATATGGTACGGACCAAAAATGATTTTCCAAGTTAAGCACAACTTCATCCAATCACGTCACGCCACGTAAGAAGGCCAAACATAACTACGAGAATACCCTTAATCGTTATCAACTTGACCTCTCCTGTTCCTCCCGGAACTGCGGAGGAAGCTTCCTTCCCGGTTCCACAGACTCGAACAAAAACTGGAACACGAACAAGACTCGTGTCTTTAAATATTCTCTCCGATTCCTTCCCGTGATTTTCAAAACCGTATTAAAAACCGGTGAAATAACGCATTGACATGTCTGCGTCTGCATACATATAAATCAATCTCTGCAGATCAAAGCTGAATTCGATCCAAAATCAGAATCAATGTCTTTTCCGGAGAAGACCCAGAATTCAGAATCCATTTCTCTGTCGGAGAAGACCCAGAAATCCCCGTTGGGCAGGTTGTACAAGAAATTTTCCCGGAAAAGATCAGATCCCGGAAAATCTCAGACCCAATTAGACGAGACGAGGAACAGCAGTTGCAGCAGCAATGGAAGCAGCCAGATCAGCGCCGAGGAGTTAAGAGCGGTGTTCGATTACATGGACGCGAACTCCGACGGGAGAATCTCGGCGGCGGAGCTTCAGACCTGCGTGGGCCTACTCGGCGGCGCGTTCTCCGCACGCGACGCTGAGGAGGCGGTGAAGATGGTGGATTTGGACGGAGATGGGTTCATGGACTTCGCCGAGTTCCTGAGATTGATGGAAGGAGAAGGAGAGAACAGTTACGGGGAGGACGAGCGGAGGAGGGAGCTGAAGGAGGCGTTCGGTATGTACACGCCGGAGGGAGACGAGTTCATCACGGCGGCGAGTCTCCGGCGGACGCTGAGTCGACTCGGCGAGTCGAGGACTGTCGATGACTGCAAGGCAATGATTCGGGCGTTCGATAAGAACGGGGATGGGGTCCTTAGCTTCGACGAGTTCTTTCTCATGATGCGTTAGATTTTGGATTTTGGGGAATTTGCGAGAGAATTTATTCGAATTTGATTGTGTAAAAAATCTTAATCTTAATCTTTCTAAATACAAAACCTTGCGTTACAAGTCTTCGTTAAAAATTCAATTATCTATAAGAAATACCAGATTTATTAATTTATTAATTTAAGTCGGTTATATATATATATATATATATGATGAAGATTATTCGGTAACGGAATCACTCAACTTTTCTAGTAAACTTTCTCATCAATTTACAACTTCTATTCATTAGGTTTTTTGGGATCCCTTATATTCGATTCAAAATCATTTACGGATTCGATTCATTATTCATGGAGTGGAAGAGATAATAAATTTTTTACTAAGATTAGAAACTGAACATATATATTATAGTTCTTTACTTTCCGGCGTAAGAGCGATGGAACGTAACAAAAGATTACGCTCGCCTAACATTAACATAAGGGCAGGGTAAAGTCGGCCAAAATATAACATAAGGGCCTGAAATACTAACTTTGAATCTTTGGAATTTGTTTGCCAAGCAATCCAGAGTGTTTATGTTCGATTCTTTGATCAGCACTAGATATCGACACCCTCTCCAAATATTCATACGTCGGGATAAAATCCAACGATTGGATTTTGTCTACTAGAACCGCAGAGGATTATAGAGATATTCGTAATTATTTTCAAAACTTTGAGATATGATCCAAAGTTATGAGGAGGCATTCTAACACTTTGAGAGACATTGTCATTTTATAAATTCTCTCGAAACCCTAATTTCAAAAAATATATATTATTTTTCGTAAGTCTGGAAATTGTAAATAACGATGGATTTAACACGGGTAGAAAATACAAGAAAGACAATATAATATTTGCCAAAATGGAAATGCTGAATTCTTTGGACGATGATCTAACTCCCTTTCTTCACAACTTGTGAGAATTATTCAATTGATATTTACCACGTAAGGCATGTTTTTGCTTCTCGTGCGAGTTCGAGTACTTGCTCTTCTCTTAGGCAATACATGCAGAGTGTCTTCCGTAGGTGTCAATGCTGGTCGAGCACAAAAGCCTTTATCGCTCGAACGAAACCTGGTTCTGATACCATCGTTCGGTCGTTTTACGCAAGTTTCTTGGACGAACAAACAAGTAAGCCTTGAGAGATTGAGTGGTTAATGAATTAGCCTTTTATAACAAAAGGTTGGATACAACGGGTCGTTTACAAAGGACATTGCATATAGGGACTTGGTCGGGTTTCGAATGGCCCTCAAATGAAGGATCTGAAGCCTATCTATAGACCATTACAGTCGACTCTACACTGTGACAGACTCAAATGACCGAATCGGACAGATGGCAGAAATTTTTCCTAGTGGAGGGTCGAGCTCGATCCAAGCGTGTAATAGAAAAAGAATAAAAAATTATTTGATTTCTGATTATTCCATACAGAGAATTATAATATTTATAGATAAAAAATAAAGTCAAATATATCTTATTTAATCAATATAAATATATAAAATATAGAAATAAAATTAAATATAAATATTATATAATTTTCTCGAATATTTTTTCATATCTCTTAATAGCGTGTACTTCCACAACCACTTCGTTAGGTCAGTTTGGCTCTCTGGTTCGTGAGATGCTTCCCATAAGCTTTCCAAGGTCGCTCTTCCCGAATGGTCTCGATTGTCCCACATGGTTTCATCATGTTTGTCTATATCGTCGGTTACAAGTAAAAAGGAATTCTATCATTTTGGTAACTAAAATCTAAAATGCAAAATCAAAATCTAAAAAGTAAAACAAAAAATCCAAAATAAAAACTATTTATTCAACATCAACATCTTAGAACTTTCGCATCTACGAGGCAATATTACAAGAATACCTTTAAACGTGCACAGAAACTTCAACCCATACCCTTTAAAATTAGGGTTTCAAAAAAAAAAACTCTCAAATGATAAAAAAACATTGTTACTCTTAATGAAAAGGACACGTGTCAAGATAAGAACAAAGAAAACAAATATTAGAGAAGTTATGAAATTATATAATTCAAAAAGACACGTGGTAGGGTTTTGAATTAAAAAAACAGAAAAGTCAAATATTGAGCGGTTTCCTTCTTCTCTCTCTTCATTTCTGCGATTTCTCTTACAATTTCTCTATAACCGTAACGAATAAAGTGTGTATCTTTTTTTAGCGATTTTTGTTATGATTTCTTCTTGTAATATCTTATCACTTCAGATGGCTTCGTCTCCTTCATCACCTTCGACTCCTATTTACGAAGATATCCAGGTTTGTATTTGAATTCACCGAGAAAGTTGATGGAATTCCTGGGATCTCAGCAGCAAATCTAATTCCTAAGAGATCAGTTCTAGGGTTTGCGAAGCGGATGTAAAACAAAATTTTTATAAAACCCTAAAACCTATCATGCATGATCTTGTAGAAACGTTAGAACGCTTACCTCAATCGATCCGGGGTCTGTATCAATTGATGTGTTCGTCCGATCACTATAGGCAGAAAGAATACCTCGCTCTCTACACGTATCCACACGGCGGAAAGGATTCCAACGGTTGGAACTCGTCTACTAGGACTAAAGAACACGTTCTTCTTTGCGCAAGGGTTTCGGGGATTAATCTTTTCGGGTTTCTACTCTCAAAACCTCTCAAAAGAGTCTGAAAGTCGTGCCAAAGAGCTTAGGAGGCGTTCCCCAAAGTTCCTTAACCTTAAAACCCTAATTTGGGTGAGTTAATGAAATCCCGACGTCTGGACCGATCGGTCTGGAATATTTTTCGGACCGAGCAACATTTGGACCTTCTAGACCGGTCGGTCTGACCTCCGTTCCATCGGGGAATTCTCGTCTTTTCTCGTGCGTTTGTCCTTTTCTATGTGTGTGACCCTGTAGACTCATCTGATATAGCAGTATAACCCGAAATCTCTATTTCGGTTATACAAGTCATAGGTGGTCTCTAACAAGACACTATGACTACCTATCTTGAATAGAGTTTGTTCGTGATCTTACGAACGCCAGTGATGATTCCGTTTGATGATCCTTTTGTATCACGATATCATATGTCGAACATAAGGCATGGACAAACCACCTTATCTGATTCGACTGCTTTCTCGTTCACTGAGTTCGACTGTGTGAAAAATAGACGACGTTCGTCTATAGTGCGATCACACATTTCTACAGTCTCGCTCACACGAGGGGCCCAGCGATATCTTTCTCTTTTACGAGAGGTACAAATCCCTGTTGGGTTTTCCTGGGATCTCAAGAGCGAATCTAATTCCTAAGAGATCAGTTCTAGGGTTTGCGCAGCGGATGAAAAACAAAAATTTTGATGAAAACCTAAAACCTATCATGCATGATCTTGTTGAAACGTTAGAACGCTTACCTCAATCGATCTGGGGCCTGTATCAATCGAAGAACATGTCTGATCACTGTAGGCAGGAAGAATACCTTGCCCTCTACACGTATCCATACGGCGGAAAGGATTCCAACGGTTGAAACTTGTCTGCTAGGACTGAAGAACGGTTTCTTCTTTACACAAGGGTTTCAGGGATCTTTCTCTTAGCTTTCTCACTCTCCAAACCTCTCCCTAGGGTCTGAAAATCGTGCCAAAAGAGTTGGGTGGCGTTCCCCTAAGTTTCCCACCCTTAAAACCCTAATTAGAGCGAGTTTAGTAAATTCCGACGTCTGGACCGATCGGTCTGGAGCTTTTTAACGTCTGGACCGATCGGTCCATTTCTGGACCGATCGGTCTAGAACAATTTCCGGACCTCACACGTTACCTCTGGACCGACCGGTCTACGTCTAGACCGATCGGTCTGGGTTAGCTGGACCGATCGGTCCAGACCTTCTGGACCGGTCAGTCTGGCCTCCGCTCCACCGGGATTTTCTCGTCTCTTCTCGCGCATTCGTCCTTTCCTGTGTGTGTGACCCTGTAGGCTCATCCGATATAGCAGTATAACACAAAATCTCTTATTTCGGTTACACAAGTCATAGGCGGTCTCTAGCAAGACACTATGACTACCTATCTCGAATAGAGTTTGTTCGTGATCCTACGAACGCCAACGATGATTCCGTTTGATGATCCTTTTGTATCACGATATCATATGTCGAATATAAGGCATGGACAAGCCACCTTATCTGATTTGACTGCTTTCTCGTTCACTGAGTTCGACTGTCTGAAATAGACGACGTTCGTCTATAGTGCGGCCACACATTTCTACAGTCTCGCTCACACGAGGGGCCCAGCGATATCTCTCTCTTTTACGAGAGGTACAAATCCCGTCTTGACTATCTACAATCCAGCACATGATTCGTTTCGTACCTGATACACGCCTTTATAGTCCTCCTGTTACGCAGGACGTTTGACGTAATCAAAGTACGCAACTCCTCATGTTGGATTCCGTAGATATCTCAGGTCTTAGGATCCAATCATGGAACCGTCATATGAGATTCAAGTCATGACGCTAGTCCATGTGACAATCTCATGCGGGTCATCCAGTATTCCGTTCTCCAACGAATACCTATGACTGTGATTGTATCCAATACCCATGATAATCTATATGATCATCAATCACACATCATACTAGTCTTATTATGTCGTTATTCCCATAACGACACAAGACTAGGGAGTTAAGTATCATTCATAATGATACATGGATTTCATAACACATCTAGTATGCAAGAACATGTAATGAATCAAATACTCTCATAAACCATAGAAAGTATCAATACATCAAAT